CCCCCCCCCCCCCCCACCCCCACACACACACAGAGATTTATCTAAAGAATCTTGAAGTCAATAATGGAGTTGTGGTGGGCCCAATTCACACTAACCAATACATAATTGGTTCTGCCATTGAACTTGTATGCACAACTGGACTCTGAATATTTGAAGCTGAGCTAAATTTTGATAGTTAAAATTCTGCTCAACCACACTATCATAAGATAGGATCTGAATGGCTAGGATTTGATCGCAATGTCACCACAAACTCTAAATCTGAATTTTATGCAATGAGGGTTAGAAAATTATAGTTTATTAAAATAGTTATCTCTCTCCCCCTCCCCTTCCCCCTCTTTTAGCTGAACAATTATAAAACAAATAAGTGAGCTTTCATGGAAGAACTACGTGCTGGAATAGTTTAAAATTTCATCTGGCAGACACCTTGTATGTACATTTGGAACTCAGACTCTTTTGAGGGTAAGTCAAATTTTAAAGGGTAAATTTTGACTCAACAAAATTGAATGGCAAGACCTGTGAGGTTGAAATTTGGCCGCATCGCTCATGCAACTTTGAGGCTGAGTTTTGTACTAGAATTAGTTAAATAATTTTCTCTCTCACGCAAAGAGAGATATTTATCTAAATGGTTATGAAGAAAATAAAGGAGTTTTCGTGGGGCCAATGTGTACTTAACCAACAAATATTGCTCCTGCCACTGGCGTTGTATGCACGATTGGTGTCCAAATCTCTAAACTTAAGTTGAAATCTAGACTGTAAGATTTTTTTATTTTTTATTTTTATTTATTTTTATTTTTATTTTTTTTATTTTTTTTAAACACTATTAGATGATAAAGATTTGAGTGGCCAACAATTGATTGTATCATCAACATAAACTCTAAATCTGAATCATATGCAAGGATGATTGTATAGTTTTATCTTAATAACTCTCTCTCCCTCCCTCCTTTTCCCTTAGCTAAACAATTGTAAGGCCAATAAGTGAGTTGTCATGGGAACACCACATGTTGTAACAGTGAATACATATGCCAATGACCTTGCATGTACAGTTGGAGGTCGAACTCTCTGAATTTAAGTCAAATGTTGAGCGATGAATTTCGACCAAACAAAATTATATAATAAGAATTGTGTGGTTGAAATTTGGCTACATTGATAATGCAAACTACAATGTCGTATTTTGTACTAAGAAGATTAAACAAACACAATTTTCTGAATTTGCTCTCTCTCTCTCTCTCTCCATCTCTATCCTTTTCTTTCGATCTCTCTCTCACATATAGAGAGCTTTGTCTAAACAATTATGAACCGGATAAGGGAGTTTTTGTGGGGTCAATGGGTACTTAACCAACACATAATTGTTTTTGCCTTTGGCCTTGTATGCACGATTGGAGTCCAAATCTCTGAAGCTATCCTGAGTTTTAGATTTGTGAAATTCTCCTAAACACTATCATAAATTAGAATTGAGCAACCAGGATTCGATCACATCATCAATACAAACATTGAATTTGAATTCCGTGTAAGGAATATTGGAAAATTTTAGTTTTATGTAAATAATTCTCTCTCTCTCTCTCCCCTTAGCTTAACAAGCATAAGGCCAACAAAATTTCATTGAGAGCGACCTTGTATATTGATTTGAAGCTCGAATCCTCTAAAGCTAAATCATAAGAATGAATTTCAACCAACAAAATTGTATGGTAAAACTTGTGTGGTCAAAATTTGGCTGCATCATTCACGCAAACTAGATTATGGATTTTGTACTAATAAGATAGTAAAATCACAGTTTTAGTTAAATAATTCTCCCTCTCTCTCTCTCTCTCTCTCTCTCTC